CAATATTTCCCCTTAAATTTTTCACTCTAACTTATGTCTTACTTTTCCTTAAATACTTAAGTTTTTCTCAAGGGTTGGAGAAATTACAAGATTTTACCCAATGCCACACAGCTAGTGTGCAAAGTAGGATGCAAATACAGGCCTAATTTCAGAGCTCACCCTGTTGTATGTATTTATTGTCTGTTGCCCTCATTCATTTATACATTTGCTCATTTCCCACCTATCTATCATGTGTTACCCCCGTCCATCCATCAAACAAGCATCTACCTACTTCTTCATTACTCCACTCGCACACATATGATACAAACTTACATACATGCAGGGTGGGGCAGGAGTAAGTTTACAGTTGTTCCTATGGAAAATAATACAATAATTAATAAATAATAAAACAAGAATAAACTCTGTGGTTCGTGTACTCACAACTGTAAACCTACTTTTGCCCCACCTGTATATATGTAGCCAATCATCGATCCAAACGTTCCATCTATTCCATCTACCAATCCACCCATCATCTTTCCACTCACCTATCTATCCATTTATCTACATTCATTTGCTCCAGCATCCATCTATCCACCCATATATAGATTCCTACATAGATACATCCACTCACCCAGACATTCATCTACCATCTACTCACCCACAAAGCCACCCATTCACAAATCATTCCATTTCATCTGCCATAGATCCTCTTATCCTTTCTATTAATTCACCTACTCATCCAACCAAGTTTACCAGTTTACCCATTCACTGATAACTGTGAAACCCAGACCGTCCGTAGAATAGGAAGTGGTCTTCTTCTAAGATTCTCTTAAGATCTCACCCCATTTCTCAGTCATCAAGAGAAGACCACAGCATTCCATGAGCACAATAAGGCAGCCTGTGAGCTCACACCCTAATTGTCTCTCACTCAGATGAAAATTCTTGCAACAGAGACTATGAGTCTTACAGTATCCTATTAAACATGGAGCCCTCTGTTAACAATCTCCCCAATTATTAAAACCTCTAAATTTCTTACAGTAACCAATCTTCTATTGAAGACTCATCAGCAAAGATTACAACCTCAGACCAGGAGGCAGGCATTTTGCCATATTTGGACTCCTTTAGGACTCCTCCGTCACTGGCCTGAAATGCTTATGTGGGCACAACCTTCCATCAGTTCACCCACTGCCTAGCTCTCTGGCCATCCAGCCAACACCGAATGTGACTTGTCAGTGTACACACACAGTAGTTTAACATCTACTCTCCTCACCCGGGTTACAGGTTAAACAGCCTGGAAGCTCCACTTCAGTGGGCCTCAGAAGCTGAGTAAGAGAAGCTTAGTTTCTCACTCAGGCGAGTGGTTCGAAGCTAGAACAATTGGATCAAGACTATTCATGAAAAATACACGTCAAAACACACCGAGGGGGAAGAGTATAGAAATACAGATAAATTTTAAACACTTTCTTGCAGAGTAATTTGCAAACTAGAAATAAGGAAACTATAATCAAACCCAGAGTTGAAAAAGAAAAGGAGACAGAGGAGAAAGGAAAGAACATTAATAATAATGATAAGGAGTGAAAGGAGGGGGAAGGGCGATACTAGTGCCTGACGGAGTGAACTCGCCCCACCTCTGGTTGCCTTAAAAAAAAAGAGAGAGAGCCCAGCCTGCATGGCTCAGCGGTTGAGCATGGACCTAGGATCCAGGAGATCACGGTTCAATTCCAGGTCAGGGCCCATGCCCGGGTTTCAGGCTCGGTCCCCAGTAGGGGGCGTGCAGGNAGGTCAGGGCCCATGCCCGCGTTTCAGGCTCGGTCCCCAGTAGGGGGCGTGCAGGAGGCAGCCGATCAATGACTCATCACTGATGTTTCTATCTCACCCTCTTCCTCTCCCTTCCTCTCTCTGAAATCAATAAAGATAATTTTTAAAAAAATAGAGAAACTACAGAAATGAGATGGAGGAGCTAATATAAAACTATGACTAACCCCTGAGGAGGCTAAAAAGCTGGGGTGAACTAATGACAAGTTAGTAGCAATCTGAGGTGGGGGAGGCAGGTACAGAGGTGGGAAGAAAGGGAAATGGAGAGATTTTGAGTTCTGTTCACTCTTCTCTCCCACGTATCCCAGGAAAGGTGACTGGTGGCCTCTGCCGCTGGAAGGAAGAAATCAGTGGCAAAAGCCTGGCTGCTCAGGAACGCCAGGGTAGTGTCAGAGTCATGCTGAGTTGAGATTCCCATCAAAACAAATGCCCAGATGGCCAGATGCCCAGGTGTTCACCTCCCACTCTCCCCTAGTCCCTCATGGATAGTCCATGATCTTGTGAATGGTGGCTGACCATTCTAAAGATCTTATCTCCTTTAAGTGCTGCTTTTTTCTTCTTCAAATAATTTAAAGAGGAATCTAAGACTAGAGAAATTTCTCTGTGAAATGAAAGCAAAAGGGATGTTGAGTAGCAATTCCGGAGCACCCGAGGCGCTCCATCCTGGGGCTCATCCCCACCCCTTCTTTCAGAATCACCAGGAGGGACAAAAACAGACCTTCAGCATATCCCTTACATGTTAGCAGACTGAGCAGCTAATAACCACAAGGGAAACAAGTTTACAAGGCGAAATCAGTAGAAACCTAAGGAGTAAAACCACCATAAACTATATACAATCAACTGGACATCCTGCACAGACAGATCAAGAGTGTAAAACTAAGTATAATAAATATAACAAATATATTTGAAGATATAAGAGAGAATATTAAATAAGAAGGAACAAGAAGCAATAAAATAAAATAAAAAAGAACACTGTGCTCTTCTGATGAAGGATAAGTAGTTCATTCAGGACACCAAGAAAAACTAGGCACAGTTTTTAAAAATATACTTGAAGATATTGGAAAGAGAGCAGAGTAGTCATGGGCCTGGATCTTGGAGAAAATGGGAATCCAGAAAAGCATGCTGCACATTTGGATGACTTCTGCCCTGGGGGCATTTACTGGCTCTGGACAAGTCAGCCGAGAGCCTGAGCAGTGTTTCAGTCCATCTCCAAGGAATGCGGTAAAAAGTTAGAGTCTATAACTCATGTTAGGATGAGAACCCAAGTGGACCCGCTCTCACAGAGATTTCAGTCCAGCCATACATCATCTCAAGCTCTGAAACTGGATTTACAAGAATACCAGTTTGCTAGAAATTCCTAGAGCCTGGCATAAACAAATGCAAGCCCTTCTTAGAGAAAGATAACACGTTCCTCTAAGTCCTAGGTTTCAAATATGCAAATTAAAACTACTGTGAGAAATCAGTACAAATCCACCAGAATATCTAAAATTAAAAGACTTAACAATATTAAATGCGGGCAAGGATGCGAAACACTCAAACTCTCACATTCCACTGTGCTTGGTACAACTACTTTGGGAAGCTGGAAATATCTACTAAATCTAAAAATATACACACTGTATGTTTAGCAATTCCACATCTAGGTATATACCTAGAAGAAATATATATAGTTAGTACATATATTCACTAAAAAAACATGTACAAGACTTTTCATAACAGCAGTATCTATGATAACCAAACATTGGAAGCAACTGAAATGTCCCTCTACAACAGATGAATAAATAGGCTGATAGATACACACAATGGAACACTATACAGAAGTGACAATGAAGAGCCCATTAAAACCAACAACACTAAACCACGCGGTGGCAGGTAAGTAAGAGGCAGTTTGGTAAAACCTCGATTAATCAGAATGCCTGGGAGCGCTTCTCCCCTTGGCGTGTGCTCCGCGTTCCCAGGGGCTCACTCCTGTTCCGTGTGCCATAATGTGTCAGGTAAATACCGAGGCAAAGGGGAACCGCAGCCCCAGCCTCCAGGAGCTCATTGTCCAGATGCACCTGATTGTCAGGGCAAGGAGTGGCTGTGTCAGTCGGGCAGCCCCAGGGTCAGGGAATCCAGGGCCCTGTCCTAGCGGCTGCAATGCTGACATTCAGGACGTCATTGCTCCTTCTCTCCCATGGGGCAGCTGATTTAGGATAAAACGATCCGTAGGAGCAGTTGGTTCGAGGTAGACGTGCCCATCACTGGTGCCTCCTCTCTGACCGGCCAGGTCTGCCCGGGCGCCTATGCCCTACAGAGGCGCCCAGAGAAGCGACCTGGGCCTACAGAGGGGAGGGAGGGCCAGAGGCCACACGGGGTGACAGAGGGCCCGCTGCACACACCGTCCACCACGCCCTGGGTCACCCCTCCACCTCTCCTTTCCTTTCCCCGTCTTGGTGGCTGCGCTGTGCATCGGTGTCGCGCGAGGCGGGGAGGAAGGGAATGGCATCTAGGTTTAAAGACCAGACACAAATGTCTCTTGACAATTTTATGTCATTTTTCTGGATTCAAGGGAGGGGTAGAGCGGGGAAGACAGACGTAGAGGGGCAACGAGAGACGGCCTGGTTCGGGGTCTGTCGGAGGCAAAGCGAGGCGGTTCTCTCCCGCCCGGGTGCGGACTCCGGGTGGGCGGACCGACGCCCCCAGCCCCGCAGCGCCGCGGGTCCCGCATGACATCAGAGGCTGGGGAGCGAGCAGAGCGCAGGCGCCGGCGGAGGAGGGAGGCGGCGGGGACGAGTCGCGCGGTCT